AGTACGTTATGCATAAATGGAGGATTATTGTTAGAAATAATAATAATTGATGGCATACACAGCGATTGCTTACATCAGTTCATCATTTATATAAAATATCAGAATTATAAAAATCATCAATCATTTTCAATGTCACGTGTGACATGTAATCACCAAAGATGCATGTCTGTGTACCTAATACGTTAGTATGGAAGAACTAATGCATGGAAATTTTGCTTTTAAAAACATTCAAACTAAGAATTTATTTTCAAAGACAGAGTTAAATCAGCTTATAAGATAATTTAAATAAACTTACTGTTTAAGAGAATAGAAAATTTACCGAGAAAATAACCTTTAATGTTTTTAATCTAGTTTAAAAATGCTTTCTCTCACCTAATTCTTACTGACCAACTATACTACATTTGTTTCAGCGATGAATAATTTAATTTGGAACATGAGGACAAGTGCATCGCCGTCATGACTGGCCAGTTTAACAGCTCTGTTACGCTGCAGCGAGCAACTAGGCCAGACAGAACAATGTCTTTTATAAAGCTGTACAACGAAACCCTATCTAAAATTACTCTTGTACGTTAGCGACGAGGTTGTTTTTACAATGTATTGTCAAGTATATTTATATTCTAGAAGTGTCGGTTCTTTGCAAAAATTAACTAGACTTAAATATGTTTTTGTGTTGTTAGATAGAATGAAAAAGATTCAGTCGAGATATTACCATGATTATTGTAATGAAAGTATTTTTATTTTTATCTTTTCATAGAGAATGTAATGTCACATCTAGGATCACTTAATGTAGAGTATAACACTCGTAAAATTGTCGTGTACGCTGTCATAGTACACAAAGATGACAAACGCGACGACAACCATCCATCGTCCACGTGAATCGTAAACAATAAACACAAGTGAATAATGCAACTCGCGCACGATGGCGTAAACAATCGAACATCTAAGCAAACCAAATAAGATTCTCTGATCATTTTATAACGTATCGCGATCATGACTTCGATGTTATGCAAATGACTGTAGATCTGGTAGCATTCATTTAGTGCACGCAGAATGAACACTAAATTTGGTTTAATTTACAATATTAAATGAATTAATTAATAGGGGTAAACATGTTTTTAATTAATTGAATTGTTGTTATTTAAAAGAAAAACTCTTATTCGTATATTTTTTGGTTATTAAACAAAAAAATATAGTCCTCCAAAACATGAATAACGTTTTATGCTTTGGATTTGTATTTCAACCACCATATAAGTTTTCTAATAATTTGGTTCATTCATCCCCCCTTCTTACAATATAAAGAAGTAATTACAGAGACCGCACGCGATAACGCCAAGGGATGTAATAGACATATAGCGTGATTCTATTTACCTAATTTTGGCTTCCAACTTTCTGCCAAATATGCGGAAGATGTTTCCACGGAAACTTGTATTTTTAGCGTCTTTATTTCTTTGGTTCCATTTTAGTCGGAAGACGCCGACCCGGTGCTCACGAGTTCACGACCAAGTCATTAGCACGTAAACGATGTCCAGCACATTCTGAATAGGAAACGCTTACCGTATTAACATCTTCTTTCTTATTAGCTACTTTAATGACGGTGCAAGGAAATGATTTACAAATCAATAGATGTCTTTTTTAAATCTGTGGCGTAACCTTGTACTACGTTTGTAACATTACAGAAGTTATGTCGGTTTCGGAGGATTTATTTTTGGTTTAATTCTCTGTGTCAGGTTTAACGTCCGAAAACAACGAAGAGGTCAATGACCAAAACGAAAATAGATGTCAAATAGATGTCTTCATGCTTAAAAAATATCTCGCTTTAATCTATATCATATTGTTATCGGTCGGGTTTTTGGTTTTAAAATTGTACAGAACTAAATATTTACTTTAACTGGTACGTTAACAAACTGTATAGTACAATTTGCTAAACAAATACGACTCTGTGTATTAAGACGATCGTTGTACGCTTCTGATTTATTCAAACAATTGAATTCCAATAAATAACAAACAAGGTATGCGGAATACGATACGCTTGAACTCATAGGTTAACAATTCATAATTGTTGACATGAATGTATAATATTTTATTTATTATATACAGGCTATCGCCCGTGACTCCGTCCGCGCGGAATTAAAAAAAACTTAATTAGTAGCCTATGTCTTCTTCCAAACTATGCTCTAATATATGTCAAATTTCATCGAGATCCGTTTAGCCATTTTGGAGATACCTTTAAACAAATATCCATCTATCCATCCATCCATCTAAACATTCGCATTTACAATATTAGTAAGATTCATGTCTACAATCGACAAAAACTTGTATGATACTATACAAATAAAAGTTATTTACCCATATTTGTAAGTAAGATAGAAATATTTATGCAGAATTGTCTAAATAAGTTGCGGAAACGCAATTTAATGTATGCGAATAATTGTCAACAAAGCACATTTTGCGTTGTTACATCGCTTAAGGCAATTATTGATTTTATTCAGATGTCTCAATTTCAATTATGGTCAAACGAGTCTACTCGCGCTACAAGTAAAGCAATGTATTTCACTTGCGTAACATGCCATCTATACATTTATATGTGACAAAAGCGTAGTTAACACTTCTAAGTTCTGTCGACTTTATATACGAGAGAAATGCAAGAACTCTTCGGACGTATAACGGGTACATTACCTTTTATGTTTCTATGGGAAGATCAAGGATATAAATCCATCTGATACTGTTAGCGGATTTAATTTAATAGAACAGGAAGACTGCGAATTGAATGTCATCGTTATGCATTATTTCACAATGAAATGTTACAGCTGTTTGATTAGTGATTTTACAATTAGTGACATTTTTAGTTGCTGCAGACATGAATTGGCAAAGTATAACACAATATTTTCACAATATATAAACAGTTAAATGCTATACAAACAGTGTTTACATCACCGCAACTAGTCAAACGTAATGCAAATACAGTTTTTAACACTTACATTTTCCGCGCAAACAAACCGTTTGACGAAATCAAATGCCATCCAAATGCGGTCAAACTGTCCATAGACATTTCATTATTTATAACAAATGCTAAAATGTCTATGGATAATGGTAGAAAATGTTTAGGAATAACGCTAATGTGTTTAATGTTTTATTGCAGCTAACAAACGGTTAAAGCTTATCAAGACAAGCATGACCTTCAGTAATGACGAATACGAATAAGAAGAACAAAAGGTAAGCAACATCTATTAGGGATAGAAGAATTATTTAAACACAGAGAGTGGAAAAGATTTATTAATATCATCTTACACCTCAAATTCGGCATATCATACGAGAACGATAATATGTTGCATTATTGCTAGAAAAGAGTTTGTATTTAATTTTAATACAGGCAGTTAACAATGATTTATTAATTTTATAAAATAAAATGTCATTTGACGTATACGTCAGTTGTGATACAAACCAAACCAATGCTGTTAATTTAGGAAGCATTAAATATTGTATCATAAGGTGAGTTATTTCTTAAATAACCCATTTGTGTGTAACAATTATTTATGTCGTATCTGGTATTGTACGTTGTGTCTTATATACAAATAACTTTCGCTCTTATAAACTCAATTGCCTAAAAGTAGCAATGATGTAACAAATGTCAACACTCCGGTACGGCACAAATAGAGGCTAGTCGGCAATTCGGTTACGACTTAACAAACACATTAAATCAATATTCGCGAGTCGCCACTTAGTAAAAGAGATAGAAGTAGGAGAGAACGGTTATTTAATAAAAGAACGGTGGCTCTGTAAGTCAGGAATGGTATTATATCTTATACATAAAATTCTCGTGTCACAATTTTCGTTCCCATACTCCTCCGAAACGGCTTGACCGATTCTCATGAAATTTTGTGAGTATATTGAGTTGGTTTGAGAATCGGCCAACATATATTTTTCATCCCCCTAAATGTTAAGGGTAGTCCATACCAAAATTTTTTTTTTAGACAAACACGGGGACGGAGTTGCTGGCGACAGCTAGTAACACATACAAAATCTCAACTTAGATAAAATCAGCATAATTGACAATTTTCATTAACCTATAATATTTATATTTATGAATTAGAGAGTTTGTCTCCGATCTCTAATCGTTCAATTCTTTTATTTAGCGAACTTTATCGTGTAGTTCTACTAATACACGTAGTAGCTAAAAGTAAACCACTCGTAAACGGTTTTACCTACTTCTTAAAGTGTTAACATTGTAACATGAAGATTTCTTTAGGCTTGAAGCCAAAAGCTTTTCAATACAACAAAAGTTGTCGCGCTAGCGCCGAACCGCACTTACGTTAAGAGCTGTAAATACTTTTTATCGACATTTTCGAACGTATCGTCTTTTTGCGCTGAATGACCTTTGCCTTAATTAAAAAAAAAACAAAAGCTTCTTAAGTTATTCTAGTAAATTTTTTTAATGTGTTAAATGAGGCTTTATAAGGAAGATTTTTAATGTCCCTTCTGTATTAAAAAAAATTATATAAGAACAAGAATATTTTTCCTTTATTACGGCAATATTATATGTGCGTAGGCCGCGACGTTTTAAAATTTCTCAAATATCATATGCCAAGTATGTTTTAATCGATTGCATGTCTATTTGGCTTTACATATAAACAAATATTTATTTCTAAATTATGTATTCTTTAAATCAGAGCAATATAATATTTATACAACATGAAATATAAAAATTCACATGCAAATATCCATTTCAAACATTATGAGAGATTCTGTTCTTATATGTGAAGCAAAATTTATACTCCTTTTTTAAGAAAATCATGATTTAATTTAGAAAAAAAAAATTATGAGCAGCGTCTCCACATTAAGTATTAAAAAAAATTAAACAAATATCTATAATAAAATTCTGACCAATTGGCAATCACTAGTAGACAATAAAAGTTCAAATTTATTTATTTTTAAAACTTTTCACCCGAGTAAAGCCAAGATATTGCAATGGTTAATATAATTCTAGTAATTTAATTACTGACCTGACTGCAACTCGAACGCTGGACTCATTGCTGGCCATATCTACATGTGCATACCTTTAACATAGAAAAATAAAAATACAGAAAATAATATTATACAGGTTAAAAAATGGCAATGGCTGTGTTTAAAACACTTGAATGTTACCATTTGTTAACATTTTGAATTTTACTTTTTTTATTATGACCCAATGTGAAATTTACCAGAATTTTTTTGTTACCTAACATAGACACCATAACGTAATTTTTTTTATTCAATTTCAACAAATTTATTTAGAAAAAAGAGGTTTTTATTCAATGAAATTGTAACTATAAATCATTGTTTGTATCATAATATAATAAAAAAAAAATAGTCTTTACATCATACCATTAAATTTAATATGAAATTCTTCCTTTATCGATAATGTTTATAAAACAATACCCATTTAGAAATTAAAGAAAGTATAATGCACTGGCGTGGTTTATTACATTAGCTACAATTATAAAAAATCTAGATAAGTCCCAGCTTGTAAACATAACAATGCGATAGCGAGGATATTTTATTTGGCATGAGATAATAAATATTGATGACCGATGTATTCTGTACTTACAACTTATCTAAACTACGAGAAGTTGTTGTATAATGTTTAGTTATTTCGGCATAAATACTTTTTAACAAAAGATTATTACTTACAACAATATATAGTATCCTTAATTTTTCTTGATTTTAAGCATATTCCTTTAAAATATTCATCGAAACGGCACGCTTTTTTAACGACTGAGATTTCCGTCCATCTTTCACTATTGTAACATAATTAAAGAAATAGAAGATACTTCATACTTTGTAAAAGACGTTAAAAAATTAAGTAATAACTCTTAAATATACTTTCATGTAAAATACATCATTAGAACACGGCGTTATTTTATAAAATCGCGATAATAAACAATCGAATTTTGAATACAAAACGCCGCGACATCGACAATCGTTCCTCAACACTCGCACGGATTGACACTGACAGAATTTGAGAACGAACAACAGAACGATTTGAAAAAATAACCTACTGTCACTTGTCATTTTGACGTCAGTGACCTTTCTTTGAAATAATATTAACGAAATATATTTTTCGCTTTAACTAAACAAAATTGAAGAATTTAAACGACGTATAGAATTTAATAAACAATGGGTTATCAAAACAAAATAAATTATGAGCTCAAAGATACATTTTCAAGAATTTGTATCATTCGAGAGATGGCGATAGCATCGCGGTAGCAATAGTAACGACGCATGAGTTACCTCGGTTTCAAAGTGTTTTCATAGATGGCGTTGCATCAAAAAAGAAAAATGGGTAATAATCTACTATGAAAAAAGCATATTATGTTACTATCGCGTTACTGTTGCTGATGAAGTGAAATAATATGTAACATCCACAACGTTGCTCCTTAAAATTAATTTTCAACAAAACCGTTCCAGGACCTCTTTAACCATTTTGGCCGCTCGGGTTCGATAATCAGCTTGTTTTTCTTAGAGTGTTCGGGCGCTTTGTACCAAAGGTTTATAATAAGTGTAGTTTACACTGCTTTGCAATCATGAGTTAAGACAACCCTGCAATTCATTTATTATTTCAGTATGGTGGTTGGAAAAGTTAAAGCGCGATCAATAAGGAAAAATATAAATAGGCCACTGCCACGTGTCAATGATCTTTAAAAGATATCACGTACCATTCTCCAAAATATTTTAAAAGTAATGCGGAAAAAGTCGCGATATTGTGGGCTACGGGGAAGCCACAAAAATATTTTTCCTTCTTTTACACTCCCGAATAATCGACTTGGTACGTGACAAAGTTGGCGCCAATACACCCTTGTTTTTTTATCTGTTTGTCTTTTAACGAAAATAACTTTGTAGTTATACTTTGTACAATTTACTTTTAGACACTATGTAATTCTTCGTTTTATTTCTTTTCATATTATTTTATATGTCACTATCTTGTACTCGTCAATTTTTACGGAATCCTTAACTTTAAAAGCAGTCAGTTTGGCAGCTAGGTATGATGAAAATGAACTTACAAGTTCAAGCACAGTATTAAAAGTCATAAATACACGTTGGGGGAAGTTAGGGGATGTTATAATTTGCTAGTAGGCAATAACAGACAGGAAATAGTAGGCAAAGGATATAATTACGAGGGCGCCGTGCAATGCCTATTAAAGTTGTAATGGTGTCGAACACGGAACGAGAATCTTTTCGGTATTGAATAAACAAATTTTCTGACGCTTTTTGAAACGTAACAACTGATTCTCAAAGTTTTAATAATATGCCATGAATCTAATTGTCTTAATTAAAACGCTTACGATTACTTCGGTGTTTCAGAACATACTTTAATTATTATGTAGAGAAAGTAGAAGAAGTATTTGTATTCCTCCTTGATTTTTATTAGCATATTATATGAAAAAAGTGAAGTCAATAATGACATGTAAGAAGCCAACCTCTTCTAACATGTCCTCAATAAAGTATCAAAATAAAATACATGTATATATTTATTACTGGATAATGACTTATTGCGCATTAAACATCTTATTAGTTGGCTGTTAATGTCTTGATAAGTTTCTAAATTAATTAATTAAATTAATTGCTTTAATATTAATAGCAAAGGAAGCTTTGGGCACCGCCGGTTTATGTACAGATATCACACGTCCGTCCGTGTTCTGAGATCAAGGCTGCAGTAAGGTTCGAAAGCTGACGTTTGTGCGAGCCGCCAGCCACCGCCGACATCGCCACTGTTGACTCTTAAAATATAAACGGCCATTTCCAGCGGAGCCACTTACGTACACAGGGTGTCACCGCGCGGAAGTTTGAACTAGAAATTAGGCGGCGATAAGCTATGGGGAGCAGTTAACATATGTATGTAGCTTAGTTGATTAAGTCACATCTATTCGAGTACTATATATAAACATAATGATGGTATGAGATTATAATAAACAATGCGTTGTCAATGTGTAGGACGGTTTCTTTCGATCTGTAACAAAATATGTTTGAATATTGTGTATGTTTGAACATTCAAATTAATAGAGTGTGAATGAATTAACATCATTGCATAGCGACAGAGCTTCGTAGGGCCTGTGCGGGGACAATAGGCTCGCTGCGAGGGTGTCGGGCCCGCTCACACGGCATGCGCCAACGCATATCGGCCCTGTCGGCCATGTCGGCCGTGTCGGGGCGAATGCCCGCACGGGAAACAATACACGTTCTATTATTTGACTCCTCGGCGACCTGCGTCTTAAGACGTGTGCACACCATCTCCACAAGCTGTCAAAGAGCCCTGTGACCAACAAATATACATTCTTTTTGTAATTTTTATACCGTAACTGCTAGAGTGTAGTATCTGGCAACTAAAATTGTATGCCTAAATTTAAATTTCGGTAATTTGTATTTCATAAAAATAAAAAAACTTGTAACGAGGTGAAGTGTAATGTTTACGCGGTTTTCGATCTCACTGTTATGTATATATAAACTGTGACAAGTGCATTAGTGTACGAGTGTGAATCACGCCTTAGGGTTAGCACTCGCGGCTAAGTGAACGGCAAACGACAATATTCCTTTCATGGGAAATTGAACTTTTACTTAGCAGTCGTTAATGCGCTGGAGGCTGGAGGTATTCCGTCACAAGCTCGGGAACAATTCATTTTACTTCGTTGTCGAATGGTCGCTCTCTCGATGCACTTTTGTTCTTAAACAGTCGACGTATGACACTTTACATTGACATGAACGTAGGAAAAGGAACGAACAGTCTTTTGTATATCTTATTTACTTCTGAGATCCATAATTATGCAAAATTAAGCGTTAATCAACGACGAATATTTTGTTCCTTCTTAACTCATTTTTATACAGGATATTGATTTTCAGGTAATATATATAGAAGGCTTAATGGATAGGCTCAGATACTGGACAGCTTTTAAAAATTATTTCTCCATCAGAAAGCTAAATTATCACTAAGTAACAGGCTAAATTATTTATTACTAGATTTTTTTTTAACTTGGCACTAACTAAATCGCAGAGTTCCACATCCACAAAAAGCTCAATTACGCTAAACTAGAATTTTATTGCACTATTCTTCGGAAACCTCCGGTTAACTTAACTATTGATGGTATATCTAGTTTTTAGTTCTCTCTTCTAGATATATGAGTTGTGCTTCACAAACCTTATTGGAGAGACTGGCGAGTTTTTATAGTGAATAAAGGTAAATGTGCGTATAGTAGGCGAAGTAGGAAGAAGGAAAGTTGGTCTTCGGTCCGCGAGCTGCGGGTTGTTAGAAAGCGCGGGAAAAGTTGCCGCTTTAGAAGCGCCCTCTAACGACCAACTTGCAATGAATTCTTTCAAAGAAGGATGATTAATCTCTTCTAAAATTTCTGTTTTGTTCTAAATTTTATTGTTTACAAACTGAAACTTCGTAATTGTTACTCGGGGTCATTTTTAATGGTTCCATTATAATGAAATAATTAAAATAATTGACAAATTTTATTTCAGTGTAGTTGAAATATGATTTCCTGATACCAATAAAGAACGTGGTAATATATTTGTTATGAAAAAATCTTCATGTATATTTTAAAATAAAATAACGGCGAAATAATAGAAAAATAGTGTTATGAATGGGATATGACGACAAGCGAGATCACCCCACCCGTACATGGCGCATTGCCGCACCGCGCCGGCGGCTAATCTAGTCTGTGATGAAACAAACGTATCATAGTAATGTAACACAAGGAGGGTGCGCGGCGGCGCGGAGTGGGGGTGCGTTGACCTCGCGCCAGGTTTATGAGTGCATTTGCACAGTGACACCCCCCGCGCCTCGCGCCCGCACCTCCAGACCGCCCCTCCGTCTCGAGCCCTCGCTCCCCTGTCCCCGACATGCGCGCACGCAGCTCGGCGGTTCTCGAAATCGCAAAAAGGCTCCAATTATAATACGGGACGCGGGACCTCTCCTGACAACTTGGAAGCTCGCCGCTCGCCGCTCGCCGCTCGTTGCTCCAAATGGAGCATCGCTGACTTCATTACCGCTCATGTATCGTATAGCGAGTTGATAAAAACATTTTAGTGAATTTAAGATGAGTACGATTTTGATTTTTATTACTAGCAAAAGTTAATATCAAGACTGTTTGCAGAGTTTAGCTCTGGAACGGAGTTATGGATTTACGGATAGCCAGTTCTTTTCATTGATATTATTATAATTTGATATTAAAGTATTTGTCTCTACTATCAAATTGTAAATCGATTGAATGACATTTCGAACATTTCATCTTGTTAGTACTCTGAAAGCACTAAACTTTTTTTCTCTAGTTTGTAGTTCAACCACGTAACACCAGCTGAATGGATCGAGGCATTTACTATTGCACGGCGGCGCTCGTGGAATCCGACGTACGCCTCGGCTTATTACGTGCTAGAGGATTGCTACAGGAATGACGTTCGCCTAGATTTGAACATAACTATTTCATGTTTTTATTAACTATGGGAAAAATGCTGAGCTTGCATTAGTTAGTTTATTAGTGACTTTAATTTGAAAGGGGATTTGTTTAATATTTTTTAATTATAGAACTTAAAATTGTTTAATAATTTGATACGCGAATTATAACTTCGCCAGTTTAATCTGAATAACCATATTACAATCTGGAAAAACAATTGTGTACTATTTCCAATAATATGTGTTTCGTTAGAATGGTTAATAGATTAATATGTAGATGTATCCTAAAACTATTCGTTTTAAAAATACAACAAAAGCATATGCTTTGCCACGAGTCCAATGACTGCGTTATAACGTAAGTTGCACTTTTACGGACTATGCCGTTGAACAATTGCCTACGACTATCATTATTTCCCATGCACCTTCTCACGGCTGCTATATAGATAACATTTTTGCACAACACTCACATAAAGAAACTTTATGTGAACGTAAAATTTCATTCTCGCGGTAATTCCACCGAAGAAAAACATTTACAACTAATACTGGA